ACACAATTTAAACAGACCAGTTTCAAGCGACAAAATAGAAGATGCCATCAGAAGCCTACCAATCAAGAAAAGCCCAGGACCAAATGGATACACATCCGAGTTCCACAAGACCGTTAAAGAAGAACTAATACCAATACTCTTTAATTTCTTTCAGGAAATAGAAAAAGAGGCAGCACTTCCAAACTTATTCTATGAGGCCAATATCACCTGATTCCAAAACCAGGCAAAGACACATCAAAGAAAGAAAACTTCAGACCAATATCTCTAATGAACAAAATGCAAAATATCTCAATAAAATTCTGACAAATCGAATACAAAACCATATCAAAAAGATAATGCACATGATCAAGTGGGGTTCATCTCAGGGATGCAAGGTTGGTTCAACATATGGAAATCAATAAATGTAATTCATCACATCAATAGACTTAAAGAACCATACAATCATCTCAATAGATGCAGAAAAAAGCATTTGAAAAAATACAGCACCCCTTCATGTTCAAACACTAGAAAAACTAGGGATAACAGGAACTATCTCAGTATCATAAAAGCTATGCTAAGCTCCAGGACAATATCATTTTAACTGGTGAAAAGTTGAAAGTATTCCCTTTAAAAACTGGAACAAGACAGGGATGGCCTCTTTCACCAATTCCATTTAACATAGTTTTTGAAACACTGGCCAGACCAATTAGACAGACCAAAGAAATTAAAGGGATACAGATAGGATAGAAGAACACAAATTAGTACTATTTGCCGACGATATGATTCTACACCTAGAAGACCCAAAACATTCCACCAGAAAACTTCTAGAACTAGTAAATGAATTCAGCAAAGTAGCCGAGTATAAAATCAACACCCATAAATCCTGTATATCAGTGACAAATCTTCTGAAAGGGAAACTAGGAAAACTACCAATAGTTTACAATAGCAATAAATAAATAAATAAAAATACTTGGGAATCAACCTAACAAAATAGGTGAAAGACCTCTACAACAAAAACTATACAACATTAAAGAAAGAAATTAAAGAAAACCTTAGAAGATGGAAAGATCTACCTTGTTCTTGGATAGGCAGAATTAATATTCTCAAAATATTATATAGATTTAATGCAATTCCAATCAAAATCCCAATGACATTACTCATAGAAATAAAAAAAGCAGTCATGAAATTCATCTGGAAAAATAAGAGACCCAGAATTGCTAAAGCAATCCTTAGCAAGAACAGTGAAGTGGGTGGCATCACTATACCAGACCTTAAACTATACTACAGAGCAACAGTAACAAAAACAGCATGGTATTAGCACCAAAACAGACTGCTAGACCAATGATACAGAATAGAGGATACAGAGACTAACCCACTTAATTACAGTTATCTTATAATTAATTATACAAAGGCACCAAAAAGCCAAAAACATACATTGGAGAAAAGATAGCCTTTTCATCAAATGGTGCTGGGAAAACTGGAAATCCATATGCAACAAAATGAAATTAAACCCCTATCTCTCACCATGCACAAAACTCAACTTACAGTGGCTCAAGTACCTAGGAATTAATAGAAGAAAAGTAGGCACAAATCTTCATCATATCAGATCAGGCCCCTACTTCCTTAATAAGACTCTTAATAGCACAAAAATTAAAATCAAGAATTAATAAATGGGATAGATTCAAACTAATAAGCTTCTTCTCAGCAAATGAAACAATCAGTGAGGTGAACAGAGAGCATACATCTTGGGAGCAAATCTTTACCCTTCACACATCAGATAGAGCACTAATCTCTAGAATATATAAAGAACTCAAAGAGCTAAACACCAAAAAAACAAATAACTCAATCAATAAATGGGCCAAGGACCTGAACAGACACTTTGCAAAAAAGAATATGCAATGAATCAACAAATATATGAAAAATGTTCAACATCTCTAGCAATTAGAGAAATGCACATCAAAACGACTCTAAGATTTCATCTCACTCCTCTCAGAATGTCAGCTATTAAGAACACAGAGAACAGTAAGTGTTGGTGAGGATGTTGGGGGAAAAGGCACACTCGCACATTGCTGGTGGGACTGCAAACTATTGCAGCCAATGTGGAAAGCAGTATGGAGATTCCTTGAAATACTGGGAATGGAACCACCTTTTGACCCAGCTATCCCACTCCTCAGTGCATACCTAAAGTACTTAAAAACAGTATACTACAGGGACACAGCTACATCAATGTTTATTGCAGCATAATTCACAGTACCTAAACTGTAGAACCAACCTAGATGCCCTTTTATAGATGAATGAATAAAGAAATGGTATATATACACAATGGAATATTACTCAGCATTAAAACAGAATAAAATCATGGCATTTGCAGGTAAATGGATGGAGTTGGAGAATATAATGCTAAGTTATCCAATCCCAAAAATCCAAATGCAAAATATTTTCTCTATTATAAGGAAGTTGATTCATAGTAGGGTTGGGAGAGGGAGCATGGGAAGATTAGACAAACTCTAAATAGGGCAAAGGGTAGGAAGGTGAAGGAAGTGCGGTATGGGGTAGAAATAAGGGAGGAATGAGATGGACTTCATTACCCTAAGTACATGTATGAAGTCACGAATGGTATGAATATATTCTGTATATAATCAGAGATATGAAAAACTGTGCTTTATATATGTAATATGAATTATAATGCATTCTGCTGTCATATATAACAAATTAGAATTAAAAAAATAAAAAAGAAAAGCAAAAGAAAAATGAAAGCAAACACCAATAAAAAACTTATCTTGAACTTCATGCCTCATCTTGCCCCATCTCCATATTAGATTCTCCTCTACATGATCCCCCTCACATTATATACCATCATGGTGACCTAGAAAGGGATTAATTCCTGCTAAGTGAAGCTAGCCAATCCCTAAAAAACAAATGCCAAATGTCTTCTTTGATATAATGAGAGCAACTAAGAACAGAGCAGGGAAGAAGAGCAGGAGGAAAAGATTAACATTAAACAGAGACATGAGGTGGGAGGGAAAGGGAGAGAAAAGGGAAATTGCATGGAAATGGAAGGAGACCCTCATTGTTATACAAAATTACATATAAGAGGTTGTGAGGGGAATGGGAAAATAAACAAGGAGAGAAATGAATTACAGTAGATGGGGTAGAGAGAGAAGATGGGAGGGGAGGGGAGGGGGGATAGTAGAGGATAGGAAAGGTAGCAGAATACAACAGTCACTAATATGGCATTATGTAAAAATGTGGATGTGTAACCGATGTGATTCTGCAATCTGTATTTGGGGTAAAAACGGGAGTTCATAACCCACTTGAATCTAATGTATGAAATATGATATGTCAAGAGCTTTGTAATGTTTTGAACAACCAATAAAAAAATTAATTAAAAAAAAAAACTAGCACTTGTAGAACAAAGAATTGAGAGGTCTAAGCCAAGAGCTAAGATAATTTTCAGGCACTAAATGTTTTTTAATGACCTTCTAACATGTGCCTTGTCAAGATTCCAGAATTGCTACAGACTGGTAACTCTTTTTTAAATATATTTTTAGTTGTAGTTGGACACAATACCTATATTTTATTTATTTATTTTTATGTGGTGCTGAGGATCAAACCTAGAACCTCGCACATGCTAGGCAAGTGCTCTATCGCTGAGCCACAACCCCAGCCTCAGGCACTGGTAACTCTTATGTGACTCTCTTTTTGTCTCTTCAGTTCACAGAACCTCAAATTGTACTTGAGGTACTGCACAAAAGGAATACTACCCAGAAAGCCAGATCCACATCCACACCTGATTTTGATAATGAGATTCTGGACTTCAAGTTAACGCTATAGTGGATAAAACTTTTAGAGGTCTTAGAAAGTGAGTATATTTTGCACATAGGAGATATATAATCTAGGACCAGAGGATTTACCCTTGATGGCTCTAAATTATGTACACAAATTCTTTTAATACTTTTCCCTTCAACAGCAGAACTTAATTACCTGCCTTACCTGACTTAGTGCTTCACTTTTTTTAAATATTTTTTTTAAGTTGTAGGTGGGCACAATAACCTTTATTTTACTTTTATGTGGTGCTGAGGATCGATCGCAGTGCCTCACACATGCTAGGTGAGCCAAAACCCCAGCCCTAGTGATTCACTTTTAATGAATAGAATACTCTAGAAGTGACAGTGTTGTTTCTGAAGCTAGGTCATAAAAAAACTTTGTAGCCTCTTTGCTCCCTCTCTTAAATCACTTACTCTAGAAGCCAACTAACAATATTTTAAGAACACTCAGGTAAACCCAGTAGAGAGGCCCTCATGGAGGAATTAAGACCTTCTACTAACATCCAGGAAGAAACTAGAATCACCTGTCAATAGCCATCTTGAAATCAAACCTGAACAGACAGTATGTTTCCTTTCCTGATGTTTTCAAGTAGCACACAATATTACTCATCAAAAAGATATGGAAAAAATAGAACTGGGAGAGGTGGCACACACTTTATCTCACCAACTTGGGAGACAGAAGCAAGAGGATTACTGGAACACAGGAGTTCAACATCAGCGCAGGCAACATAGCAAGACCTTGTCTCAAAAAAAGGAAGGAAGAAAGGAAATAAATTGTATCAAGGCTTTGATATATGTGACCACATAGGCATGTGTAAGTGTGTTCCTGCTACACTTGCTCTCTCTCACATGTCCCTAAGACATTTTGTCATTTTCTGGACATCAGTCTCTTTCCACTGCTTTGGACTACTTATCACTATATATAATTGATATAATCAAAGAATTATAGCCCTATCACACTGATACCAAAAGCCCTTCTAATGTACTAGCCTGCTTGCAGGAATAAAGGATAAATTTTAACTCATAATCTAGAGCAGAGGTCAACAAACTTCTCCCTGTAAAACAGCAAGTAGTAATTATTTTAGGCTTTGCAGGGTGCATATGGTTTCTCTAGCGCTCTCATTTTCCACCCAGTGTCCTAACAATGCTTTAAAAAATCTATATTCTAAAAGGCCATACTTTGCTAATACTTACCCTAAGAGTCTCTGTGTCTTGGTAGCAATCCTATCAACACTGGCAAATGTTCATTTCAATCCTATAAGCAGAAAGAAAAGAGTCTAACAGGGCTACCCACTGAAATAAAATCCACTCTAATTAAATGTTTTTTTGTTTTTTTTAAAGCAAAAGAACTAAATTATATAACATCTGGAAGACCAAAGAAATAATCACTATCAGATTAAATAACTCAATTGCATTTAGTATTTATCATCCTTTTTCAGAGATATTATAAGAGTACAATAGATACTTTGCCATTCTAAAATATACACATAAATTCTAAAATATACATATAAATTTATAACATAAATTTAATTATAAAATATACACATAAATTTATAACGTTGCTTTCTCATTCTCTAGTAAAAATTTTGTGTTGCCACAACTCCTACTGCCATTACTTTTGATAACTGAGTAATACTGTTTATGGTGAGTATATATTTAACTTACTTTGATCTTTGGCTTGGTTTTTAAGTTCTATAACTTGGATTTAGTCTCAAATGAATATTTTCATATTTTTACCTCTTATACGCATTCATTTGGGGAAAAAGGCTTTCGTTTTTCTTTTTCCACATTTTTAAAATTGGTGCATTATAGTTGTACATATTAATGGGATTTGTTGTTATATATTCATATATGTACACAATATAACAATAAAATTTAGCAATATCACTTGGGGGAAAAGGTTTCTATAATAAAACTAATTTTACCAAAGAAATAAAAAACATTTAATAATCTATGTAATTTGAAAACAATGGTAATAAGTATGCACGCCAGTGTGTACACATAAACACACACATACCCCAACACTCGAAGAAAAATTGAATTATTGGTAAAAATAAAAATTAAACCACTTATGTAGCTCTGTGGTAGACTGCTTATTCAGCAAGCACAGGCCCTAGGTCATTCCTAGCACCACAAAAATTAAAATAAAAATGAATAAAACTGCTTATCTGCAAATTTTTAAAATTTTTAATTAACTTACCCACCAAATATATTAAGAATGAAAATCTTTAAATATGCATCAAAATATTTGAGATTTAGGAAAAACCATAAACAGAGAAAGAAGTCTTAAATTCTTTCCTTATTTAAGTAAAAATAAAAGTTTTAAAATAATGTCATAGAAAACAACAATCCAGGGGCTAGAGATGTGGCTCAAGTGGTAGCACACTCGCCTAGCATGCATGAGGCAGTGGGTTCAATTCTCAGCACCACATAAAAATAAAATATTGTGTCCACCTAAAACTAAAAAATAAATATTAAAAAAAAAGAACAATCCAAAAGTAAGCAGAAAGGATATAAATAATAAGGGCAAAACTGGAGAATAACAAAAATAAAACTAGTTGGGATAGTAAGGCAAATTGAAGGTTGCTTCTTGGGAAAAAGTAAATAAGAAACACTGATAAAACTACAAGCTGGGCATAGTGGTGGCACACCTGTAACCCCAGCATCTCGGGAGGCTGACAAATAAGGATCATAAATTTAAAGCCAGCCTCAGCAACTTAGCAAGGTTCTGAGCAACTTAGTGAGACCCTGTCTCAAAATAAAAATGGCTGGATATGGCTCAGAGGTTAAGAGCCCCTGCGTTCAATCACTAGTACCAGGAAAAAAATAAAAACAAAAAACTGTGACAATCTGAGAGGAAGAGGAAAGTACTTAATTTAATATAAATGAAAATAGAAATAGGGCTGTAAGTAATAGAAATAATATTCTACCAAGTAGGCTACTTCTGCTTTAAAAACAAAATGTTTTCTATAAGGGAAGTTGAAAAAGTAAATGACTGTCTTGATAGATGTTGAAAACTACCCAATAAAACAAGTCTTTAAAGAGTCTAAAAATGAAAACAAGATTTTAAAATATACTCATTACTTTTAATAGTATAAAATTTTTCATTAAAACCAAGATCAAGAAACCCATTAACTCCATCATACACATTATTTAGAAGTGCTGACTCAAGAAATATGACAACACCACAACTGGCAGGAAGTACCAAATAAAAATCAAACAAAGCTAAAAACATGTTATTGGTGAAAAGACAATATAGCAAAAAACATTCTTTCACAAATCATTTTATTATTATAATTGCTATTTTACTTACAATATTTGGCAACATTAATAAAATAATAAATTCCATCTGCAAGAACAAGCAAGCAAAATAGACAAGGAAATTCATACAAGAATAATAATAAAATAGTAATCTGGACAGATATTAAATATATTTGTAAACAAAACAAAGTGACATTGCCTTAAAAAATATAAAGCTATCAATAGAAAAACAAAGAAAGCTCCCTTTGACTCAATTCACTATATTAACTTTCTTTTGGTTGCAGGCACAGAAATTGACTCAAGCTAGCTCAACTCTAAAAGAGAAGCAAAGCCCTTAATGATTCCTTCCCAGCTTTTTTGTGAAAATCTAGGAAATTTAACTGTATTAGAAAGGGAAGAAAGAAGTGGGGGGAGGGAGGTAAAGTGCCTTTAAGGAGAAAGAATAAGGTTAAAAAAAATGTGGGGGAGATTTCAAGTTGTTCTAAGAACCAAAGGAAGTGTTGAACAGTTCAGTGAGGTAGCAAGCCATGCAGGCCTAGGGGAAAGCGTTCTAAGAGAATAGCATGTGCAGCCTGTAAATCAGGAAAAAATATGATTTGCTTAAGGAATAACAAGGCCATTATATCAAAATAGCATATCAATTAGGGAAATGGTAGAGCTGTATCACAGAACGAAAGAGGGAGGAGGTAGGCAGGGGCCACACCACTGGAACCTGTAGTTGGCAATAACTGACAATTTGTACTCCTTAGGAGCATGCTTTAGTGAAACAGCAAACAACAGTTCACAGTGCCACTAACAGTAAGCAATCACTAAAATTTACAACTAAAACATTTTTTACTTTTACCATAGAAACACAATACACAAAAGTCTGCAGATTTAAACAGTAAGAATTTCCACCAGAACAAGTGGGACAGTCATACACATACACACATATTTTCTTATATCTAAAGAAAGGGTTCAGGGTAAAATTTTCGTAACATGCCTTGGCCCAAGCAAACTAACTGAAAAGACCTAGCAAACCGTTCAAGGTGTGAATGAATTAATCAAATAAGCAAGCATGGAGCAATTAAACACAACAAAATCTACTAACAACCTCTTTTAATTATTTTTAGTCCTTTTTCCCCCAATTCTAATACTATGACCTGAAGATTACCTCTTCCCAGCTTTTTGTGAAAGTTAGAACATTTAATTAGATTGAGGAGAGACTAAAGGAGTAGGGGAGGAATGAAAAAGACTTTTCCAGACCTATGTCTACAGCCAGGATGCTAGTAGATTCCTTGATTGATGAACAGAGGCTGCTGGGTACATGCGATGAGGGTAGTGAATAAGAGAGAGATGACCCTAGAACAAGCCCTGGGAGACAGACAACCCTGGGAACTCACAGCAGCTCAGGCTGCTGATGTTTAGGAACCAATGCTCAGAAAGTACTTCACAGTTTTATGAAACAGCCTTTGGGGAGGGCAAATGGAAAAAGTTCCTCCCTAGTATAGTTAGAGATTAAATAGGAGGATCTATCAGATAAGGACAGACAATACATTTGGGCCATTTTAACTAACTAGAACAAATTTAAAAATGATAAAAAAGAGATTCATTAGTGTAATCAGTTAGGAAATTATAAATACACACACACAAAAAAAACCCTACTAACTGTAATATATTCACTTCCAAGACAAGACACAAAACTGCAAGCTTAATATACTCAATTATGGTAAGTTACACATGTGCTGAAAAATATAAGGTCCCATATGGGTTTAATTTTAATCAGTCACCCTGGGCTATTTTGGTGCACTGTACCTAGTGTTCTTGGACAAGCCCCATTCCAGCTTAACAGTGGAAGAACTAAATTTAGCTCAGCCCATTAACTGGACAGTCATCATTTGTATGGCCCCTTTCAGCAGAAACTATGGGTCCAGTACAGTTCAAACTTCAGATACCAGTGCTTCTTTTCCTCGGGAATTGTAACATGCTTTATTGTTGTGGCTTATTAGGACAAGGAGAATTCATTCTTCACTAACCTCTAGCCAGAATGAAAAATTCTCCTTTGGATCACTCAACAGGAAATTAACTGGGGCCAGTTCCCATTCTAATTACTGTTGTGGCTTCATATGAAGCTAAAGATACTGAGTAGCTGTTTAATATATGCAGGAGTCCTTCACCAAATGCAGACATTTTTCAAGAATGATTTTGCTTCCTTGGATGTTCTTCTATTAGGCAAAGACATTCTCAGGCTGTGTTCCTTCTGTCTTGGCTCCAAGACTAGAATGTGCCTATCCCTCAACTGGGATAAGGGGTCAAATACTTTCTTTTGTCTAACCTATACCTAAGTCTTCACCTCCATCCATGCTACAGCTTCTCCTTCAACATCACACTAAGGCTTTCAAAACCAGGTTATTTTACACTCACACTGTACAGGCACTTCTAAGAGTTCATGAATAAAGGGACCAAGCCATAAGAAAGTCATTCCAGTCTGATTAGAGTTAACAGTGAAATGTGTAAGTAATATACAGAAAAAGTTTAAAAATAAAATTAAATACTTCAAAACCTCTACAAATTCTGTATATAGAAGAAAGATCTCTCCAGCTTAGGAGTTACATAAAATACTGACAAAATAAATAGGCTTCCACTTTTTTTTTTCCCCACTCAAACATCATATACAAGCACCTTTCATGTGTTGAACCAGATAGTTAACATAAAAACCAGGTAATATATTATATAACAGCTCAAAATTCAGGGAGTGGGAATGTGGTGCATGGCTCAGTGGTAGAGCAATTGCTCAGCATGTACTAGGTCCTGGTTCATCCCCATCACCACAAAAAGAATGAAAGAAAAAAATTTTAAAACCCTATGCATGAACTTAAATCTCAATTCATTAGTTTCACTATTTTTGGTGCTACTGAATAATGTATGGTTTATATTTTTTGTTTTCATGGGGTTTTTTTCTTCTATTCAAACTGAAATATTTGCTTTTGGTTTCCCAAAATAGAATCAATGAGGTTTTTTGGAAATTCTATTTTTAGATTTGGGAGGAGATGGTTCAGAATCAGTTGTACTCAGAATAATAGACGCTACATTCACTGATTCTGGTTGACCAGGTTCCAGTGACACTTGAATAACAATTTTTGTTTCAGGAGGCAATCCTTCTAGTTGCTTAGGCTTCTTAAACATTTGATGACATTGGGTCTTGTGCTCCATTTTCTCCTTGAAAGTTAAAAACTGTAGCCGACATTTAGAACACTGGTGAACACCCCTTTCCCAGTGCCTCCTATAATGACACATATATGGTGTTGCAGTTTTGAAAATTTTGAGACAAAAAGGACAAAGTAGATTCTTAGTGTTTTCATGGTATGTTCTAAAATGTGTTTCCACATCAGCAAAGGCTGATGATCTGTAACTGCAAATCTGGCACACATAGGGCATTTCCCCAGGCTTATGATTGTCCTTCATGTGTTCTAAAAGAATCTGATCTGTTTTAAATGACAACTCACAAATTTTACAGACAGCAGAGGGCTCCTGTGGAGTGTGTACACTTTCGATGTGACGTTGTAGTTGGAAGGGAGTGGGAAACTGCCGGTGGCAATGCTGGCAGGTAGTGTGGGTTTCCCAGCTGTCACCCCTCTGCTTCTCAAGTTCCAAATGGTGCTTCATATGATTCATAAACTTAACATTTTTTAGAACTTTCAAGCAGCTGGGGCATTTAAAGGTTGTGTGAGTTTTCTGTTCTGGCTGCCCATCTCCTTGATGTTGTCCATAGTAAAAGTCACTAAGTAATAGAATCAAATTCCCTTTCTTGGGATCAAAGGTCTTATTTTGACTTGCTAGATCTGAAAATTCTGTTTTTGCCAACCCATTTTCCCTATCAGGATTTATAGTTATAGGCTTTAAATGGAGACTGTCCTTTGGAAAAGCTGTGGGAAAAGATAACACATTCTGAACATGGCTTACTGAGGTATGGACATCATTGGGTGTACTCTGCTGAGGATTATTATTATTAAAAACACCTGGAGGGGACAAAGTTAAAGAATATCCTCCTGTGATTCCATCACTGAGTTTAGGATTTTTGGGATTTATGCTAATTACTTCAGAATTGGAACACCGCTTTGATATACAAGTACTTTCATTCATACCTCCTTCTGAAAGTGCTGCTTTCACTGGATGATGCAATGAACTTGTGAGGGTAACCACAGGAGAACATGATTCTGAAGAGCTACTAGGCACAACTTTTGGTGAATTACTTTTATCATCAGGCTTAGACAAAGGCTCAATAATAATAGGACTATCTGTTGATCTTGATTCAGATTGAGATACTGGCAACATAGTCACTGTTTCTGATGAAGGGGTCACATGACTTATAGGCTGCAAGTTACGAGCAGTATCTTTTCTTCGGCGACCATACTTTTTTCTCCATGAACATGAACCTGGGGTAACTCTGTTCAAAATATTTGAAACAACTGGTTTTGAATTTGAAGACACCCCAACAAAGATCAGTTCAGCATCTTCATTTACATGTTCCACCCCAACAAAGATCAGCTCCGCATCTTCATCATCTATTTGTTTGGTTTCTTTTATGTTCTGTGGTTCTGGATCCTGTTCTTCCTCACATAACATACATGGTTGTTCCATTTTCTATTTTTTTATTCTTGAAGGTAGCCCCAAGTCCCAGTGCTTCCTTTGTATAAACAGCCACCTAAGTACAAACACAGTAAGTTCAGAAAAATGCATTATTTAATTCTCTAAAATTCTGAGGTCGTTATTAGCCATCCTCATTTTACAGACAAGAACACTGACACTCAAGGAAGAAAAATGGCAACTTAAAACTGATGTACGATAAAGTCTAGAGTATCACAGTTTCATAGCTTTGCCCCACGCTAATAGTAACCTCTTCCAATCAAAATCATTAAAAATAATATAATAAAATAGGGGCTGGGGTAGTGGCTCAGTGGTAGAGCAACTGCCTTGCATGTGTGAGGCACTGGGTTTGATTCTCAGCACCACATTTAAACAAATAAATAAATAAATGTCCATCAATAACTAATAAAAATAATATAATAAAATGTATTTTTACTTTCACAAGTGTTTTTTCAGTATCTTGAATACAAAAATTTTTATTCCTTAGACTTAAGATAATAGCTATTTTTAAAAGCACCAACTATTCCAAGATAGTTTGTTTCACAGTAGAATTAAAGAAAAACATATTAAATATATATCAATTGATTCATCTAGACTAATTCCTAAATCATTATATAGACAAGAGGTATCAAATTTAGAGAGTAAGAGTATCTACACATAGCCAACAAATAACATAATGTAATGTCAATACTTAGCATGTGTCAGACAGGCAAATCAGGAATAAATTCTCTTGATAATCTCATCTCAGTTAATGGCCTAATCCATTCACTGATATCTACTAAATTTCTCTCTCCAGTTCTGACTTCCCCACTGAACAACACTGCTCCTTCAAATCCACCTCAGTTTGTTTTCCATATGGAAGGAAGAATGATTCTGTTAAACCACATGAAATTTTTTTCATCACTGCTCAGCTCAAAACCTTCCAAGGGCTTTCTGATCCACAAAGAGTTAAAAGGTCAAGTACTTCCAATGTCTAGAAGATCATGCTTCCAACCCGATATATTTTCATACTCCTTTTCCCTCACCCACTTCACTCTACCATACTAATTTCCTCACTACCTCATGAACACACTAAACCTTGCTTACAACATTTGTATTTCTAATATGATGTTCATTCATCAAGATACCGGCACGGATGGCTACTCATCAACTTCAGGGCTCTCTGTTCCAAGCACCATTCTCAGAGAGGTTTCAAATATTTCAAACTATAACCTCTTAACTCATACTCAAATTACTTCCCTCCTCCACTCCCCTCTTTTACTGGGATTGAACTCAGGGACATTCTACCACTGAGCTACACCCCCAGTCCTTTTTTATTTGCCTTTTGAGATAGGTTCTCATTAAATCACTGAAGCTGGCCTCAGCCTCCCAAGTCACTGGGATTACAACTGTGAGCCACAGCACCTGGCTCACTTCCCTTCTCTTTCACCATCAAGTCCTACCTTCACTTAACATAATACAAACTTAACTTCTTTATCTTGATTCCTTCTTTTTGCCCAGTAGCAAAACCACAAAGGATAGAGACTGGATCTTTTGTTGACTGTGGAATACCCAGCACAAATGCTTGGTTTGTTAAATGAACCAACAAATAGTAACTCTCATAAGATCTTCTATTTATAAGATCTTAAAATTGATATAAAAAAGTCTCTTATAAAAAGACTGTGCTCCAATAATTCCACATTTTCTACGAATTTACTGAGAAACTTCAATTCAGAAATTCTGTAGGCTAATAAACAACTGAAAGCAGCTAGCTTTTTCAAATAGATATAGATTTTTTTAAAATCAAAACCAAGTTTAAAAAAAAAATAAAAAAGTAAAATTATATGGAGTCAGGGCTGGGGATGTGGCTCAAGCAATAGCGCGCTCGCCTGGCATGCGTGCGGCCCGGGTTCGATCCTCAGCACCACATACAAAGATGTTGTGTCCGCCAAAAACTAAAAAAAAAAAAATATATTAAAAAATTATCTCTCTCTTAAAAAAAAAAATTATATGGAGTCCCACTATATACTGACATATATAAATAATAACTGTCTCTATATTACCTGAGATATACTTAAATATCTTCTATTTCATTTTTCCTTTTATAGATCATGACTCACAAAATCAATTAAGATTCATCAATGGGTCACAACTAAGTGGTCTGAAAAACATTGATCTAAAGCAAGCAAAACATAGGTATGGTTCGCAGCTCACTGGACTTTAAGACTCGGTGTTGTTGTTATTTTGCAGTACTAGAATTGAAGCCAGGCCTTGCATATTCTAGGCAAGTGATCTACTACTGCATAGCTCACTGATTCTGAAAACATGTCAAGATGCATTGTGGCCTCTTCAAATCAGCATAACCCAATCTATAAAAATTAAACTGGCATCTAAAATATGAGACACATGATACATTAATTTTAATGAGAATACCAGTACCTAACTTTGGAACATACAGATATTATCTATTCCTATAAACACATACATCACCTTGCAAGTCAACTAAAGAATACAATTAAGCATAACAAAAATTATTCATTTTTTTTCCCTCACTTATTCCACTTTAATTTATTTGCCCAACACTGGTAAGATACTGTGGCAGACAGTGGTGAATGCATGAAGCTTATTATCCGGTGTGTCATGAATAGTATAATTTACAACCTGAAAAATTAAGTCTATATATAATGTCACATATATATATGGCAGATTTGAACACTGCTCTTTGGAATCAGCTAAAATAGGTTTGTCTATACTACTTTCAATTACCTAACTCCAGGATGGTGCCACTTAGCCCAGAGTTTTTCAACCTATGCACTTAAGATTTTGGACCAGATAATTCTTTATATAGAGGAATTCTGGGTGCATAGCAGGATGTTGGCAGCATTTTTGGCCTCTACCCACTAGATATCGGTACTAATTCCCCAGTGTGGCAATCAAAACTGGCCCTAGACATTACTAAATGTCCTGGGAGAGAACTCCTACCCAAATCCAGTCTTTTTCTCAGCGTCACTTCTACGTTTCTAGAATTGACTTCTACCATGAGATGTTATGCCTTACCATCCACAAACAAAACAACAAAAAAACCTTCAAGTCAAAATTATTAATATTCTAATAATTTGACAACTAATATGTTTATCAGATTATCTGAAGATGGAATTTAAAGCCAAAAAAACTTATGTTATATGGAGGATATGCAGAGAGCCCTAAATGCATGATTCCTGAATTCTAGTTCTGTGTTCTCTCCAAAAGAAATGATTTAAAGCATGCCTATTTCTGATGGTAATATTACTTACATCCTCAAATTCATTAAAAAGTGTTTCACTGGATTCACTTTTTCACTGAAAAATAATAATAATAATAAAACACCTGTTCAAACCTTCCCCATCTCCATCAAATTAGTAATAATATCTTATAAGTGATTAGATCATTGCTCACTATAACCACATTATTTCCATACTTATTAATGTCTCCATCCATGCTCTAGCCTGACTTCTAAGTTTAGGATCCACAGATTACTACATATTTGTACACCTGTTTCAGACCTCACAAACTTCTACCATGAGATGGTATGCCTTACCATCATCTTCTCTTTGTACTTCAAATTATATATACTTGCCACCACTGGATGGATCTTAAACATCAATGTAATTATACTGTTTCTCTCCTCCTAATTGTTAAATGAGTCTTTCAATTCTAGAGACTATATTTTAGATTATGCTATGGATTAAATTGTGTCCCTCAGAATTTTTAGGTTGAAACCATAACCTCCAAGATGATGGCTCTTGAAGATGTTGCCTTTTCAAGGTAATCAGGTTTAGATGAGGTCATGAGAGTGGGATCCCCATAATGGAATTAATGCCTTTATAAGAAGTGACACCATAGTTTTGTTTCCCCTATTCCCAATCCCCACCTATATAAGAAGAAGTCAGTTATCTACCAGCCAGGAAGAGCACTTGCTCTAAGATGCCTCAGCCTCCAAAACTGAAAAACAAATTCCTGTTGTTTAAAAAGAAATTAAGGGCTGGGGATATGACTGAAGCGGTAGCGCGCTCGCCTGGCATGCGTACGGCCCGGGTTCGATCCTCAGCACCACATACAAACAAAGATGTTGTGTCCGCCGAAAAACTAAAAAATAAATATTTAAAATTCTCTCTCTCTCTAAAAAAAAATTAAAAATAAAAATAAATTAAACTGGGGCTGGGGATGTGGCTCAAGCAGTAGCGTGCTCGCCTGGCATGCTCGGAGTGCTGGGTTCGATACTCAGTACCACATAAAAATAAAATAAAGATATCGTGTCCACCGAAAACTAAAAAATAAATATTAAAAAAAAAGAAAGAAATTAAACTGGATTCCAATAATACTGACTTTCACTCAGCTGATCCCAGTTAGGTTTTTGGCTATTGTCCATACTGTCAACCCAAAGATGAAAAATGAAAAGTAGAACAAAAATCAGGAATAAAGCTAGTTAAGTATATGACTGAGTGCACAACAAGAACAGTATCAGACGATGCTATTCTTAGAAAACTCATTATTTCTTCTCCTCTAGGTATCTAGAGCCCCTTCTTCACAAATACCCCAAAATGGATGAATGTATAAACCCTTATTTTCAAATTGACCAGAATTTTGACATAATAGGGTAGGAGGTTGGACAAGCCAAGAACTACTAGACCTGAGGGTCTGTCTCAAAAATCAACTCCCATCTCCACCAACAAAGTCATTAAAGGCCATAATAGGAATAAAGGAAAGTTTCTTTCCAAAGACAGCTAAGGGTCATCGGATAACGATCCACCTTCAAGGTTATTTTTGTGCATCCAAACAATGGTCTTTTCTAGTGGGATTTTGGCCTAACAGTCCTTCTTGAGTAATTTCTGAGATTAGATCTTAGGTCATTAGGACTCCTCTAGCACCTGCCCTACTATCTTTCCTTGCCTATCACTCTCTTCAACCATCACTGTTCCTCTAAACTCCTCCTCAAATTCTCTCTACATAAATCCACAACACTCTTGTCCCTAACACCCAATAACTTCACATATTTGCTGCCTTAGAATATAATACCCATCAAACACAAACCCATGGAGG